TTTTTTTTTTTTCCCAAAGAAAAAAGTAGCTGCTTCCCAGCAATGGCTCTTGCTTACAGCAACCCCAAGTGTATGTTTTTCCCAGGCTGTTTTCTGATCTGCCTCATTCCTGGAAGCCTTGGCAGGCGACTGAAGGAGAAGTTTGTTTAACTCATTTCAGCACAGAAGGCACCTGCCACCCCCCAGGCTCTTCAGGCTGCACCAGGATTAGCAGCAGGGGAAGGTCCCCACCAGGAGTAACCACAGAGAAATGCTCCAAGCCGACCTTTCCCTTGGGCAGGGGTGATCCCTGGGCTTGGGAGGGACTTTGTGGTGTCGAAAGCTTTGCAGTGCTGTTTTTAGCCACGTGTGCTGGACCTGTCAGTGCTGTATTACAGTGGTCCAGCTTTCATCAGCCACCTGCTGCTCTGCCACCCTCGCCCACCCTGCCGGGCTGAACACACGTGGCTGCTGCTCATGGAGCATCTTCTTCGTCTGTGGGGGGCTCAGAGGTCTGAGCCCCAGTGGGGGTAGAACCCAGCACGCTGCTGCCGTGACTCAGGATCACAATTTGCTTGTGATACTGAGCCATAAAATCATGAGGGTTGGAAAAGCCCTCTAAGATCATCAAGTCCAGTCATTAGCCCATGGCCACCACTGACCCGTGTCCCCAAGTGCCACATCCACAAAGTCATGAAGACAAAGACTGGATGTAGAGAGTTGCAGAAGGACCTTATGAGATGGTGTGACCAGGGAATGAGGAGGCAGTTGGAATTCAATAGACTTGAGGTGATACAAGTTGGAGAAAATGGCCCCAGCTTCGTGGAATCCTGGAATCCCAGAATGGTTTGGGGTGAGAGAGCATCTTGTTCCACCTCCTGCCGTGGGCAGGGACACCTTCCACTAGCCCAGTTCACACCCACCTGCACAGAGATAGACTAGGAGTTGGCCCTATTTCCCTCATGGTACAGTGGTGGTTAAAAATAATTTGGGTGTTGCTGATTATGGGAAAAGAGAATAAAACAGTGAATGTTGTTATGCCACTTGCGTGGGGCACGACAGAGGTTTGGACCCTTGGGGTCATGGGGAAGGTGGATGATGATTGAGGGTCCCTTCCCAGTGGAAGTGTGGGGTGGCATCAGGAATGGCAACTGATGGCTTCAAAGCAGAGGGCAGCAGTTTCTTCATGCAGCATGTGGTTGGCTCACGGGGCTCTGTGGGTGCAGAACATTTGCAGGGAATAAAAAAAGGACTGGGCAACTTAGTGGAAGAAACACCCCCCCATAGGATGCTAAATGGGAAGAGCCTGCACCTTAGACAGCTACAAATCATTGGAGGGTGGGGAGGTATTGAGGGCAACACGTGTGCCTGGCTCATGTCCTGCTCCTTGGGTGGTCACAGAATCATGGAATTTCCGGAGTTGGAAGGGATCATCCACAACGATCACCCAGTCCAACCCTCAGCCCTGCACAGACATCCCAACAATCTCATCCTGTCCCTGAGAGCATTGTCCAAACACTCCTTGAGCCCTGTCAGCCTTGGTGCTGTGCCCACTGCCCTGGAGAGGCTGTTCAGTGCCCCACCACCCTCTGGGCAAAGAACCTTTTCCTGAGATCCAAGATAACACCCCTTCAATCACCAGCACTGTTGGGGAGAGGATTCTGGTGACCATGGTCTGACCTGGAACAGCCACTGGTGTCTTCTTACGTGACAGTGGCTAAAACATCCCTTTGCATTCCTGCAATCCGTGTTCTGTGCTTGTGACTGGGGCAGAGACATCTGCATGGGGACCCAACTCTGCAGGTGCATCCTCAGGGCCTTCAAACCAGCTGCTCCTTCTCCACTGTGTTCACTTCCAGTTGTCAGGATTTGGGTTTGGTATCTGCAAAACCCCAAGGGGTGTTTTTTGGCAATGGTGCTGGGCTCTGGGTGACCCCACCAGCCCCCTCCTCACCACTGCTCTCTGTTCCCTTCCAGGCTGCCCCTCAGGGACGTTCAAGGCCAGCCAAGGGGATGAAGGATGTGTCCACTGTCCCATCAACAGCCGGACAACCTCAGAGGGGGCCACGAACTGCGTGTGCCGGAACGGATATTACCGGGCAGACGCCGACCCCGTGGACATGCCGTGCACCAGTATGTGTGTCTGGGCAACTGGGAGGGGCTGCACTGGGCGTGGAAAGGAAATGGTCATTGAGGGAGGCTTGACAAATGCATCTATCCCAGTGGGATTTGGGGGGAGGCTGAGGGGCTCAAAGCAGCTTGTCCAGAGGAGCTTTGCAGGTGTGGGTCTGTTGTACTTGGGGCCAGAGGGGACAGAAACCTGGGTTGGTTTGTGCTGCTCCAGGCAGTGTGATGACTTCACTCTGGGGCTGTAACTGGACAAGAACCTTGGGATGTCACACAGTCAAATTACCCGGGATAAGAGGACAGGTTTTATTCCCACTCTTGCCGTTGGCTCTCCAGCTTGCTCCACACATCCCTGACACCAAGAGAAGCCCCCGGCTCAGTGTGTGCCTGCTGGGGTCAGGAGTGGGGGGTGCAGCTGGTCCTGCAGCGAGGAGGAGGAGGAGCAGCGCTCTGGCTCTTACACCTCTCTGTGCGTTCCCTCCACAGCCATCCCATCCGCCCCCCAGGCCGTCATCTCCAGCGTGAACGAGACCTCCCTGATGCTGGAGTGGACCCCCCCCCGGGACTCAGGAGGGCGGGAGGACCTGGTGTACAACATCATCTGCAAGAGCTGCGGGTCGGGCCGGGGGGCCTGCACGCGCTGCGGGGACAACGTGCAGTTCGCCCCCCGCCAGCTGGGGCTGACGGAGCCCCGGATCTACATCAGCGACCTGCTGGCACACACCCAGTACACCTTCGAGATCCAGGCTGTCAACGGCGTCACCGACCAGAGCCCCTTCTCCCCGCAGTTTGCGTCCGTGAACATCACCACCAACCAGGCTGGTGAGGATCCCTGGCTGCCAGCAGGGTGGGGAGGGCGTGGGCAGCATCTCCTGCTCGCTGCTGGGGTGAACAGGGCTGGAGGGGGGAGAAGGGGAGAAGAGGTGGGGTGAGACGTCACATTGGTGGTGACCAGAGTGCCTGGCAATTCCTGGATAAATCCCAAGCCCTGGCTGTGAAAATACCCCCTTATTTCAGTGAAAAGCTGGAGTGTGCCCCAAGGCAGAGCTGCCCTCCCTGTCCCCCCAATGGAACAGCTTGTGCCACTGTCCCCTGGTGCCACATTGCTCTAGGGCACTGGGTAGGACTGTTCCTGAAGCTTTTCCCTAGAAGCACCATTGCAGGCATTGTCAGAGTGTTGCAGTCACAGCGGCAGCTCCTGGTTCCTGGGGAGGGAAGGTGAGATTGGCTCCAGCATTTTGATATGAGCTGCAATTCCTGCTTAGACCATAGAGAGAGACAGGTCAGACTGGGAAAGCAAAGGAGGGAGCTGGGACAAACATCTGGAAATCTGCTCCAGGTCCAGTGCCACTGCAGAGCCACCTTGGTGAGGCAGATGAAGGAGAGGGCTGGGAGGGTTTCATCT